GGAGGATTGGGTAGGGGAGCCTGGGGAGGATGGGAAGGGATGGGAAGGGGAAACAAAGGAGGAGGGTACATGCTTGATACGAAATGTATTCATTGTCTTGTTCATGTAATTGTAACCCCTCTGTACAGTATTTTCACAATAAAAAAAAACAATAAAATACCATGCAAGATAAACAAAACCAGGTTCTGTGGGTCTTTTGCAGTCTGCAAGCTGTCAGCATGCAGCTTCTGCTCTAGGAGTTTGCATCTCTCAAACATCATCCAATAGAGTTTCCAGAAAACTAGTTTTCCAAAAGCAGTGCTGCATTGTCATCCAGGTTATCTCTCTAAGCTTAGCTTATCGATTTATCTTTTATCTGTCACTTACCTGCCCTGGATTTGTTTCTCTATCTGTCATCTATCTATCTACACACAAATACACATAGGTATGTTTATTTAGACATATATGAAAATTCAGGATAACAATCATTTGAATTAAAGATGTGGACTTAAGAATAGTGATAGAGAAGTAATTTATCTTTTGAAAGACTGCCTGTCACAGGCAGGGAGTGAACACAATTATCTCCGTGTACCTTTAGTGCAGCAAAGTGGTGACTTCGCATCTTGAATATACGGGTTATAATTTAGCCAAAATTAGTAAACATAAGCAACGAATCATCCAGAATACTGGAAAAGAGCCTAGCAACTAAGGTCCCATATTCTTAAAGTTTTCCTTCATATCTCATGCAGAGATTGAAGTACCATCTTGTTCCTGAACTCCATGCTTACAAGGAGATGGGGAAAGCAAGACTCTTTCTTGTATTTATTGACATTCATAAATCTACTAGACTTTGCTTTAATGCTAAGTAAAGGCCATTTATTCACTTGCTCAAAAATTAATTTCATGCCATGAACATTATAATAATTCCAAAATATTCCTGTGTTCAATTTATAAATGAATGAGCCTTCCCCCCACCCCCCCTCCGCTCCCCACCACCTTGAACACAAACAACATGCTAGGCAAAGACACCAAGGGGCCAAGGAAGGAAAAGGTTGCTTTGGAGGAGCCTAGGTCTGCAAGTGCTCTATTACAATGCCTGCATATGAATCCATGCAAAAGCTGTCACTCAGATGATTCTCACTTCTAAAAGGGCTTTTGTTTAATGTCTAGCTTAAAAATTAAGCCACATTAATGCACATTTAAAATTGTTAATTTCTGTGAATAGCATAGTTTGAGAGTCTTTTAATTCTGTAAACACAGGAAACTCCTGTATGTTAAGTACTAACCAAAATGAAGTTGGAAAAGGTAACAACTAGAATGATATTTTGCTTTTTTTTTGTTTTTGTTTTTGTTTTGTTTTGTTTTTGGTTGTGGGCTTGAATTTAGGGCCTGGGCATTGTCCCTGTGCTCTTCAGCTCAAGGTTAGTGCTCTACCACTTGAGCCACAGTGCCACTTCCGGTTTTTTGGTGGTTTACTGGAGATAAAAGTCTCATGGATTTTCTTGCCCAGGCTGGCTTTGAATCGTGATCCTCAGATCACAGCCTCCTGAGTAGCTAGGCTGACAGGCATGAGCCACCTGAGCCCAGCTTGCTTTTAAGATTACAAAACATGCCCTCAGACGTTATATAAAAACATACATAAGGGCACAATCTTAACCTACTTTGCCTGCCTACCATGGAGTACCATAAATCAGGTCATTTGTAAAGAAAATATGTTTATTCCTTATACTTTCAGATAAGTTAAAAAGCCCATATTTACTATGGGCCTTTCTGTTTTCTCACCCCATTCCTGCATGTGCTTTTTGATGGAAAATGACTGATCATAAAGAACTCATCTCCACGCTAACAGCCATAACTTAGACCCATCCTTGCTGCAGACCACCTTGAATCATCTCCCTTCCCCTTTCCCCTGAACAAATGCCCCAGTGATCTGGCAAGAGAGCCTGAGACTAAGGCCACATTGGATGCAGACATCCCTGATAAACATAGAGGCTCTTGAAAACTTCAAACATCTCGGTCAAAATAACATGGCTCACCCACCCTGCCTCCATCTCACCCCACTTCCAGCTTCCTCTACCCCTGACTTCACACTT